TTTAAATGATTTATCTGAATTTGTACAGTTTAATATGTTAGGAATTTAAAGAAATGAGTGTATAAAAAATAATTTAAGTTAGGTTGTATTATCAATTGCCCATTGTATATAGTTAGTTTGTCTTGAGGTAAACTTGTCTTCTTTTAGCATTAAGTCTTCTGTTTTTGATGGGCGAGTGATGGATTGATTTTGTTCGAGTGTTTAGCCGCTTACTCCTACTTAGCCTGTTCCAGGTGTTCGCTGCTCCTCACTAACCAAATGCCTGGAACAGGCTAACTCCTACTCCCTTAGTCCAGTTGTGGCTCTCTCTGTCACACAATGCTACTCGTCTCCCCAGAGCGTAGTGTTGCGTGACAGAGAGAGGGCCAGAACTGGACTACTGCTCCCTAGGCCACTTTTTTCACTTGCCCCAACCCTCCATGGTTTCCCTCAACCTCGTCCCCAGGGCCATTTCCGCTTTCAAGATGGCGGGTGGGCGCGAAGATGAGATGGCCCTGGGAACGAGGTTGGGTTTTCCTAATCCAAGATGGCGGCTTAACACTTGATGGAATATTCAGCACTCGCTCGCTCGCTCGCCCAAATGCACCTACACTGCAGGCTACATTTTAACCCTTACACTCCAGGCTAAAGTGTGATCAACTATTGATTTCTCCTTACATTGTCAGTACATTACCAAATAGACATGTGGTGAGAATTTTTCTTTTAGTCAACTAAGGGAGTTGTCTTGATGTACCAGTAAGTTCTCAGAACTAACATTAAATTAACTGTATGTCAATCAGTAAGGAGAATTAAACTTGGAAGTGAATGGGTTGACTGTAACTGCTCGACAACTGTGTTGTAGTAAATACTGGATTGTTATGCTTGGGTTTTTTTAATTTAACTGCTTTGTGAATTTCCAAACACAATAAACTGTTGTGTCATAAAACATATTGTACTCTTTGTGTTGACAGCTAGATTGCGGATAATCGGTCCCTCATCAGTCCAAACTGTACTACGGTAACCTGCCATCAGTCCCTCCGGTCCTTTCTTCTTTTTGACGCATTCACCGAGTTGATGTGGTCGTTTCATTTTACAATAATAATATTACAATACTAAGAATAAAATAAAAGTCAATACAATTTACAAGGTAATTTCGTTGTTAAAAAACAATTACAAAACTAAGAATAAATATTTATCGGATGTACAATATTTAATCAAAACTTAAAGGCCCGTTCTTGCTTTGCTTCCACTCAGACGTCGCCACACCCTTTCCCCGTTGTGCACCTTTTCAGAAGTTGATTCAACCCCTCTATGGCGGTGATGACGGCTAACACTCGATTCCTCAGGATTTTCATCCGAGGCAATAGAGCTGTTGCGTGACGCAGCAGACGACGACCTTGAACTCGCAGGGCTAACACTAGAGCTGCTGTCCTCGTGACAGTCCACGTCATATATTCGCACCATGTCTTCGTGCCTTGGCTGAACCTCTATAATGCAGTTGGGTTGCCGCGAGTAACTTGCCTTTCTCCGTATTGACTTTTGAATCCTCTTTAAAACAGGACGCGTTCTAAATGCGCGCATCCGCTGTTTTACTTTGCTGACGGGATTCTTTTCGGGCGGCTCCGTGGAGTATTCTTTAATTTATTCTCAGCGAGTTTTCTTTGGGTTTGATCATCTTTAAATACAGCTCCTTCCACAGCGAAGGGCGGGGTGGTGGCAAATTAGGTACAGTGTGGATACCTGATGCTCCAGGGAGCTCTATCGCCCAGCTGCTGGATTCCTCATCATCAATGCTTGCTGGCTTCAACTGACGCTCTTCTTTCTTTGAACCAGCAGTAAAGGAATTCAAATTATTCTTAATGGATTGCTCCTGAGCATCATAGCGCTCCCTAAGCTCATGATCTTGGTTACGCATTCCTAACACTTCTGTCTGTGAATGGGTGACATCACGCTCGTTTACCGACAGATCTGAGAAAAACTCGTCAATGAACTCGATGTCTTTCACTTCAATGCTACATGTAGAAGACACTTTCTCGGTAGCTGGTTTTATTTCTAGGTGAGATTGCCATGAGCCTGTATCTGAAGGACATCTAATGCAGATAGCAACGACCGGTGTTTCCTCTATTTCGTCTACTTTCTTAATTTCGTCGATTATTCTGTATTTCTCCATTTTGCTAGCTGAAGAAATCAATGAATTGCAACTCCCCATAGCAGCGCTAATGTTGTCCCGAAGTGAAATCTTTTCTTTCTTACGTTTGATTGTGACGCAAACGTGCTCCTGCACGCGCAAACTGAATGCGCGAGCGTTTCTTTCTTTTTCTCAGTCACTCCTCCTCCACACGAGTTTTATATTTCACTTTCATTCTAAATCTCGTTGAGTATTACTTTTCCCCGGTTTGGGAGGGGATCACTCCCTCCCTACAAGCTATGAAGGGTACCCTGCTGCAGGCGTTTGGATGGCTTTTGAGGTGTTTTTATGGTCTGGAATAGTTCTCAAATTTGCGCCACTTTTGATATCAAATAGTGTTCTTAATTTCCTCTTTTTATCTGAAAGTACAAGTAGGTATATATGCTTAGTGTGAGGGAACTTCGTACCCTAATGCTGCTTTGTGCATGAAGGGGCGGAAAAGGCGGAAATTCCGTTTGGCGCGAAAATAGCTCGATGGGCCCTGGAACTGAGAGTGCGCCCAGTCTTCCACGAACCAGCTCGATCCAACATGGCGGACAAATAACGCGGAAACTGCCACTTTGAACAACGTTCAATATGTCCGTTGTTTCGCTACAACTAGGCCAATGTGGCAATCAGATAGGCGGAGAACTGTTTAATCTGTTAATAGACGACGCGACAAAGCTAAATCCGCAGTTCATTTCGAAGAACGTAGATCGCAAAGTAAACCAAGAATACGAAGAAGAAGTCGTGGAGAGATTCTTCACTCGAGACAGAACGGGAAACACCAACGCACGGGCAGTCATGATTGATATGGAATCTAAAGCGATCTCTCAAACGTTACTGGAGGCCAAAAGTCTGGCAAGTGGACGTATCCTACGGGCCAACAATTTTGCCAGAAACGCGGTTCAGGAAACAACTGGGCTCACGGTTTTTTGGAACATGGACCGCGATCAGCAGACACTGTGCTTGAAATGGTGCAGAGAGAGGTGGAAAAATGCGACAGATTCAGCGGATTTTTAATTTTGCTCAGCTTGGCTGGTGGAACTGGCTCAGGTGTAGGAGCATATATTACAGGTTGCCTCCGGGACGAATTTCCACATTCGTTTATATTGAATCAAGTCGTTTGGCCTTATGGAACCGGGGAAGTGATAGTACAAAATTACAACGCTGTTTTAACTTTGTCTCACTTGTACAAGTGCTCAGACGGTATAATCATACTCGAGAATGACAAGTTACAAAGTATATGCTCCAGATTAATGAACTTAAAACACATATCTTTTAAGGATATAAACAGAGTAATTTCACATAAACTTGCAAGCGTACTGCAGCCAGTAAAGTTGTTCTCTCCAGGACAGGAGGCTGCCTCCTACAGAAGGGCAATCTCAGTCAGTAATCTGCTTGGAGATCTGATTGAGCAAGTGTGTCCACACCCTGAATATAAGCTAATGACGTTGAAGAATATTCCACAAATGGCTGAAAATTCCTTAGCTTACAGCACTTTCACTTGGGCAGGTCTCTTAAAACACCTGCGGCAAATGCTCATAGCTGATGCCAGCATGGAAGAAGGTGCGTACTGCAGATGGGTCTGATTCCCATGGGGGGGGGGGGGGGTGGAGAGGGTACTCAAGTATATTGGTGATGGGGAGGTGTGATTCAGGCCAAATTTTTAAACCCCCCAAAAGTCTTCAAGGGAGTGGTTAAGGTTAAAGTCAGAGTGTTCCAGTCCAATGGAGCGGAGGAGCCAGGTGGCTCATGTGCATTTCCGTAGCATTGACACATCTAGGGGTATTTCTACTTTCCCTGGATGGGATATTATATGTAGTTCGTTGCATGTAATCTCCCGTATTTTTATCAGGTTGCCCCAACAATTTGTCGTTACCCATTTACACCTGGGTGGAGAGAGACAGTGTGAGAGTTCAGCATCTTGCCTAAGAACATTACACAATGACCGCGGCCAGTGCTTGAACCTGGACCACTCAATTTGGTGTCCAACTTGCTAATAAGTAGACCAGTAGCTGTACCACCTTAGAGAGTAGGGTCGAGGCTAAAAGATGGAGGAGGGGGAGACATTGTCCCCCTTTCCCCTACATCTTCTTTAAAATTCACTACTTTTCCTATTAAATCTCCCCCTGTCAATTTAGTGCTCACTTGCCAATAAAATGCTTGCATTGCAGGGTATCTAAACAGGTGAAGTTTTCTTTTATTGCTTGGCAGGCATTGACTGGGAAGTGAAGTTACCTGTACCATCAAACCCAGATGGTGCAGATTTTCATCAAAGACCAGGAGAACTACCACGACTGAGAAGCAGATTTAACAAATCCATTGCTAACCTTTTAGTGTTACGAGGAGTAGATGTTCATAAGTCAGACCTGTCCACTTTCAATGACCCAAGACTTCATGCAAGTTGGGTACCACCCAGTTGTGCCAATACAGTATGGTGCCACCCAAGGCCATTCAACCATTATGAAAAGTCTGCCACATTGCTAAGCAACAGTCAAACTCCTGTGGCACCCTTAAACTCTGTGGTCCAGAAAGCTTGGAACATGTTCACCTCACGAGCTTATGTTCACCAGTATTTGAAATTTGGAATGACTGAAGATCACTTTGTGGACAGTTTTGCGGCTACTGAGCAAATCATTAGAAACTACTCTTCCTTGTGATTTGAGTAAATGCATTTTTGAAATTCCTTGACAGGAAATTTTTAAGTGGTGGTTAAATAATGTGAGAGGTGCAGTAGCCTCCTACGCAGACTTTTCTTTGGGCTCGTCACACACTCCTGTTCGTGGGGAGGAGAACAACGTTCGTGGGGAGGAGAGATTGTGTGACGAGCCCAAAAGAAGTCTGCGTAGGAGGCTAGAGGTGCAGTGGCCTAATGGTTAAACACATTGGACTCCAACTCGAGCGGTCCAGGTTCGAGCGCTGGCTGGGGTCATTGTGCTGTTTTCTTGGGTAAGACACGTTAGGTACTCTGACTCACTGTCTGGCCAACTGTTAGCGCAGTCTGATAAAATTCCAGCGAATAACCCATGATGGACTAGCATCCCATCTAGGGAGAGTAGCAATACTCCTAGTCATTTCATGCTATGGAAACCGGATTAAGCTCCAGCAGTGTGGATCACTTTGGCCCTATGCAGACTTACCAGTTAAAAGGCAAGTTGTGCCAGAGCTTTGACACCTATAGGAAATTAAGAGCAGCTGCCTACTAAGCTGCAAACATTATATTGTCTCAACATGCAAGAGGACAAATAATAATAATTATTGTATATGAGGCAAAAAACATCGCCATAGCAGGCTACCACCTACCTGAAACCATACTGAAATCTGGAAGCCTTGCCGAAGCTTATCCCAGATTCCATAGCAGGAAGCAGATTAGGAGTACTGGTATTGCTACTCCCCCTGTATGGGATGCCAGTCCATTACAGGTCCTTACCCCCCAGCATTTTGTCAGATTTCCTTAACAGTTCGCTGGTACCCATTAATACTCCTGGGTGGAGAGGGGCACTGTGAGAGTTACTGTAAGTGTCTTGGCCAAGGACACAACACATTGACCAGTGCTCAAACCTGGACTGCTCGATCCAAAGTCCAACACGCTAACCATTAGGCCACCGTGTCTCTCACACAGAGTAGTATAAGAAAGCGAGTGAAAGAGTTTGAAGAATCTTTCACACTGACTGACACAGTTATATGTTGTGTCTGCACTACATGTATAATGTCACCTATGCTTGACCATTACACTTTCGAGTTTTCCTGATATATCATATCCTCCCGGGAAGGTACTCGGGTATGTTACCTATACGGGTATGTGCCGCCCAACAGGGTCGTGATTTTGGGACTCCTGATCTAGAACGGGGTATCCATATTTGAGACGTTTCCTAGAACGGGGTATAATATTTCGAACGCACAAAAGCTCCAAAGTATCAGCAGCCATTTTACATTATAGAGAATTTGCTTAACAAAATACGTTGCTGATTTGTGTAGAAGCACAATTATTGTATTTGGATGTATAAGTCAAACAAACAAATAAAAGAAATAACTTTTCAAAACTGGGCTATTGAAATTTACTAAATTTCTAGAACAGGGTATTAAAAATTGGCCTATTTCTAGAACGGGGTATCATTTTGAATGCAAATTCTTTCTAAAACAGGGTCCAAATTTGGAGACCCGGCCCGGCGGCACATACCCACCCAAAACATACCTGGGTACCCCCCCCCCCCCCAGATATCCTGTGAGTCATCCAAGCCTCCCAGTCTGATTTGTGTCACAGGCAGAGCAATAAGGTAATTTGACAGCTAACATGGATCAGTTTTGACTTTTCTGTAGAAACACAAGGTAATATTATTGTGGACAGTTTGGGCCGATTGTCTTACTTTCAAACCATCGACAGTGATCCAAAATGTACAAACAGTTGTGTGCTGGTCGGCTGTCGGTAGCCTGTCGGTACACTGTTAGTAGATTGTTGGCTAACAGTCGCCAACAGTCAACCAATGACTGGCAATGAGTGTGGAGCCATGTTATTTTCTTTACTCAACATATTATTTATTTCTCCATCAATGATTCTTCATTATGTTACATAATTTACATCCTGAGAAACTTCGTTTCTGGTCTTTATTTAAACATTTAAAATAACTTAAAAGCCTGTGGCTCATGAATTTCTTTATAACAAGGCCATCTAACAAGAATTCAATGTGTTGGCCTTAACATGCTTAATCTGCAATAATAAATTCTTACAGGAGAAACTCTTCTTTAAATAATAAGCATGAATTAACTTTAAAATTGCTTTGGGAAAATTTCTGCAAATATGTTTACATCGTTGTTCTTTTTAGACACTTTATGAGAAAAAATTATTAAATTCATTATTTACATGTATTTTACACAACATCCAGATCTTGTTCTCTTACAATAATCCTTGCACATTTAATGTCAATTCAGGGTTCGCAGTAGTCATCTAGTTAGTAATTAACCATTTGCAAACCCCATGATCAACATATCAATTCTCTTTACGGTCCTCCACACATTTCTTAGAGCACTACTTAGGAGAATTTGTTTACTATTTGATAGAGCAGTTTTCAGCTCAGTTTTATTGAGCGTGGAAAGTACTCCAGAATTGCTTAGGTTTTGCTTTACTACAATTATCAGTTGAGTAAGGCACGCAGGAAGTTTGGTGACAATGTTTTCACGTTAAAACTATGTTGTTACCATGAGCAACTGGCAAGGTTTCTAATGGTAACCCAGACTTTCTGTCTGTTACTGACGTCAATGGTAACAAAGCGTCAGCGACACACAGGTTACCATTGGAAACTAAGTCAGTTGCTCATGGTAACAATGTAGTTTTAACCTGTAAACCTTGTCACCAAACTTCCATCACGCCTTACTCAACTGATAATCGTAGTACTATGCTATGATTGTTTAAAAATAACCCACCCACCTACTCAACCAATCAGATGCAAAACCAAAACCAATCGTGACTCATGATCATTTCCTTAATTAATTCTCATGACCTGTTCTGTAAATTAAGTATTGATATTGTGTGGAGACATTTGATGTTGATAACAGAAACTACTTGCACTGAAATAGAAGCTAAGAACAATAAAACAAGGTTATAATAATTATTATTTTAAACAGTGATGGCTTCAAATAACAGTGGAGTGTTAATAATAAATTATTGTTGTTGCCATGCTTGATCTTGTACTTATTGAAATTATCTCAGATAACTCTCTCAACTTTAAACTAGTTTTTATGTAATACCTGGAGGTGCATATAGAACAAATACTGTAAAAGGTAACCCTGCCATGTGTGTTGGCTGAGTTCTACATGAAAAATGCTGTTTTCAGCCTGTGGCATTTGTGTTACTGCATTGCAGAGAGCTTTGTTGCAATTGAAGTGTTTGGCACGTAACCACCGTATGTTGACTTTAAGGTCATTTTTGTTTGTTTTCTCTAAAATGAGGGCAAAACTGGGAAAAAATTTGGGCCAATGTTTTTCAATTGCCAGAATCAAAGGGCGCATGCAAAAAGTGGCAAGTCTCAGCTAAAAGAACAAAAAACCCTAAACATCAACATCAGGTGGAAGTACGCCCTCATTTATTGAATCACAAAGCAAGAAAGCAAATGTCCCATCAGATGTCTAACAACACTGTGTCAGACCAACGAGTGCCAAGAAAGGGAATTTTTGTTGAATACTTTACGTACCTACCAATATCTGTTTGGCTTATGAAAAGTTGGGATATTCTATGCTACCACTGGTTTGTAAATCATGTGCCTAGTGGTGTATACCGGAATAGTTATTTGCATGTAGCCTGCATGGATTTCGCGTTGCACGAGTGGCAAAGCCACAAGTTACGAGCTAGTGAGGGGAATGGGGTGAGGAACCACCCCATTGGCTTGTAACTCACAGCTTTGTCGCTTGCGCAACACAAGACCCAAACGGAGAGCCTGCTCACAAGCTAGTGTGCAGACATCTGCTATTTCCAGTGAATTGGTAAAGGATGGAGGAAGGAAATAGGATATGTCAGCATGCAGGCTTATTGAAGTTGAGGACACATTTTACTTTGCTGCTTTCCAAAATATTTTCAGTTGATAACATTATATCTACTACTACTACTCAAATGTTTATCGATCTTTAACAGCTGTGACCTGCAAAGCTTCTTGTGCCTGTCGGACAGCAAGTCTGTAATATCCTTTCTTATGCCGCTTGTGCCGCTTATCAAAGTAGGGCAAAAATAACTGAAGACCATGCACACGCATAATAGAGCTGGTGTTGGAACCAAACCAGGATACATGGGCATCCCTGTCCAATTGGTTGCTGCTTTCTTCATTCCTGATCCCGCTAATAGCCAACACCCTTCCTGGCCACCAAGGATGCCCATGAACTTTGCCCCACACAATATCGTTGACAGACACAGGGTTGATGTTGTCGACAGGAGCCTTTTGAGGCTGAAGTATCCAGGACATTCTTTGCGTATACTTGGTAGATGAAGTGGTACTCTTGTGCTTTAGAGGGTTTTGTTGTGTCAGAATTGTACTTGCCATTTCTCTTTTTGCAGGTTGGTTTGAAATGTTATGACTCAATGTTTTAGAAACAGTATTCACTTGACTAGAATCTTGTCCAACTGTTTTCGTTTCATTAGATTCCGCAGAAGATTTTTCATGTCCTAGCTTTTCACTCTTTGGTTGCGTTTGCAAGGTATTTGCCCTCTTCTCGCTAATTCTTGCCGACCGTTTGATAGTAACATTCTCAGGCATTGATTTCTGTATTTCCATACGTTCTGCATTATCACTTGAGACACTGTTCTCATTCATCGTTTTCCTCTCAAAATCCTTCTGAATTCCACACTGAGGTGTATTACTGTCCTCGCCTGCAATTGAGACACTGTTCTTGTTCATCGTTTTCGTCTCAAAATCGTTCTGAATTCCACACTGAGATGTATTACTGTTCTCGCCTGCAATTGACACACTGTTCTCGTCCATCGTTTTCCTCTCAAAATCCTTCTGAATTCCACACTGAGGTGTAATGCTGCTCTCGCCTGCAATGTCATGTAGACATGTAGTTGCACCACTTTCACTATCATCAGTCAAGGTATTAGGAACACTTCCTTCTTTGATTGGGACGGTCCTCTCAGAGATGGTGTCATCCTTGTTTTCGTCCACTCTGGTCTTTGGATCTGGCTGTTTCTCTTGATTCTGATCTTTGTTATCATTAATGTTCTTGTGGACTCCAGTCATATTTCCATCAGTCAGTCGAGACACTACCGATGCCAAGCTCTTGCTGGAAGATAATCTGTTCTTCCTTGTACCAGTGGCTTGTTGAACCTTCTTGAGTACCAAGACTGTACCATGTTGTCGCTGTCCAGCACTTGCCGCTGTACCAACTGGTACCACAGGAACAGAACATGGTCTTGTCATAAGAACTTTATAATGCGTTGAAGAAATGCCCTTTGCCGTTGAATCCTTTGATCCAAGAGACCGTGCACCACCGTTGTTTACTTCAGTTTTCTGTGGGCTTTTGCAATCTCCCTTGGTTCGCTTCTTATCGGTTTGTTTCTGGACACCCTTGCTTACAACCCTCTCAATGTCTGATTTTCTTTTAGAGGGTCTGTCACAGCTTTCTTGATTTGAAGATTTCCTTTTCAGGTTAGTTTTCAATTCAGAATGCTTGCCATCCACCTGGCTCGACAAGCTAGTTTTTCGCCTTGAAGTTTCCTTCGCTTTAATTACCTGCTCTTGCTTGGTTTGTTGATCTGAGGCAGATGGTCTTTTGGTTGTAGTGCTCAATTTCTCCACCATGTTTTCAGAGCTCTCCTGCATGCCTTCCTTGATTAAATCCGCATCGGTTAGGACTTTTATGCCGCGAAATGAACTAGGGATCCTTCTACAAGGAAATGATCTATTGTTCTGTCGTCTGTAAAACATGCTAGCCTGCCTTGTTGACCACCTCGAGGCGCCATCACTGAGATTACTTCCTCCAGACATTTTCTCCTTCATTGATTCAAGACTTGTGGTTTGCTCATCAAGCGATGTTCTTTATTAATTTCATCGCGATATCACATGAAACAGAGAACAAAATTCAAGTAAGATACTAGCTTATGTATTTTACTTTTAAACTGGCCGTATCAT